ATGCATGAACATTTCTGGAAAGGTTTGTCAATGTTATTCATGTCATGTTCCATGTGAACTGTAGGCGACTAAATAACCAAGACCTCTGGCCCCTTGACTTCCCTGGTACCTTTTACATTGATGATTTGAAGATATGTATAGTAGATATTAAATCACATGATGAAGATATTCTGGTATGACATTCCCGCCATTAAATATTAAATTGGCAACATTGCATGTGTCATTTCCTAATATACATTTCTTTTTCATAGTAAATGTCTCCATTTTAGACTTCCATAAAATTAAAAAATAGCTATTACATTTGTTTTGTACTTTAATTTTTCTAATTGTTATGAGAGTTTAAAATAAGTGTCAATTCAATGCCTACACAGAAAACTATTTAAAGATAATACAGACATGTTAATTACATTTTATTTACCGAGCCATTTTTCTTTTAAAACTAAATAGAATTTCCTGTGTCATAACTAATTACAATTTTCACATTAACTAGTCAGGATAATATAATTTAATATCAGTTTTATTTCTGCATTATTTTTATGCAGAAAGAAAATACCTAATGTCTTGTGTATCTAAGACCCTTCATTTTAGCCATGAAAAGGTCTTTGAAATAAAGTTTCAGTCTATCTGTCATGTGGCAGGAAAACTTCAAATAAATAGTTTAGTTTCTTTATTATATTATGCTTTCCACAAAAGCCATTACATTAGGCCTGGGCCACAAATTCTTCCAGATTCCTAACCCAATTTATGACATATATTAGGGAAGTCATTTAATAAAAATAGAAAACTACTTCTTTTCCTATTATAATTTAACAATATTGATAAAATATTTTCTAAGATATTCAGAAGTCACCAAGTGTAGTGTTACATGATAAATTCTCAAAATGTAATAGAACTGATTCAGAGGCTATAATTTCACTACTAATTATATTCAGTAACAATTAGATATTCCAATAGTTTATATTAAAGACCATTGTAATCAGCTGTCCTACTACAAAATCTTTATGTTCAGCATGACATTCTTCATTGTTGTTGTTCATGACAACAAGGAAATCTTTTTATTTTTGGTTTGTTTTGTCCTATACAGAGACCCAAATTCCTAAACATGAGTTACAGCTTTTAAATTGACAAGGAAATGGTCTGTTGTTTCATGTCACCCCTCCTCTTGAATTTTTTCAATGACAGTTAAGGTCACACGTGGTTTGTACGCACAATTTTTATAGCCAAAACAAATCCAAAGTTACTCTAAAACACAATTAACATTGTAATTATTTCAAACACCCGTCAGAAGGTATCCCCAGCCCACTGCTTGCCTGTATGATCAGACATTTTATTGTATCTGATGGCAAAGCAAGGCTGTACAAATTAAGTTTCATGAGCAAAAACTTTGTAGAAAATTTTTCTTTACATTTTTTTTTCTTGAGTAACTTTCAGTTTGTATCAACTTTGATGACTCAAAATAAAAGAAATGCATATCACCCAGAGGAAGGTCACAGCTTGATATTCAAACTGTTGGCATCAGTGCTTAGGAAGCATCATCTCCTAGACAGCTAAGTAGACACTGACTCTGGCGGAACTATACATTTTCAACTTTTAGTTTGCTAAAAAGCAGCTAAATCTTTGTGTATGAACCATAAGTGACCTCAACCGTCATTGAAAAAAGTCAAACAAATTTCAAGAAAACACAGCAGGCCATTCCCTTCTGAGAATTATTAATTGAAAACATGATGTACTGAAACATTTTTTGCAACTCCATACAAAAGTACTCTTCATTTTACCATGCATTCCTTAAAATCCTCCATTGCAATCAATAGTTATACAAATATATTTTATATTACACCAAATCGCATGTTCTCGCTTGGTCAGAATTTCTTTGGAGATCATGGAAAATCAATGAGAGTTAAATATAATTATGAAACAAAGAAGAGTTGGAAAGAAACCAACAAACTTTAAATTCTCAATAATGAATCAAACGCAAAAGACATTTTTTAAAAATATAAATACATTATCTTTTTCCAAAAATCAGAAACTTAATAGCACAAAATAACATTATGATAAATGTAAAAGTATGGCAAAAGAAAGATGAATACTGAAAGAAACTTCATACATAACATTAACGAAGTACATTATGACAAATAATTTCATGAAATTAGATGAGGCAAAACTTCACACACTGATCTCAAACTATGTGGGTATACAATACACCCATTCCAAGGGATCTTGGATATTATCATTAATTCTATGAATATTTGGACAAACAACTCATATTTTTATATTTTCTTATTATTGCCATTTAAAATAAATACTTAATTGAATTCAGGGGTGTCCAGAGAAAACAAAACACCTGAGTCAGCACATCCATGGGGGCCCTTTACATCAAACAAAAATCCCCCTCCTCAATGCGTAACAAGAATTTATCTCTTCCTGAATCAAAAGTAATTTATAGCAGTTATTTTGAGTTACAAGTAAATATATTGTTTTATATTTTGAGTGAAAAAATGTCTGGGTCTCAAATAAGAGGGAGCCTAGGTCACGTTGCCCCGTTTGCCCTTCCTTCTGGGCACCCCTGATTGAATGCAGAGATAGAAATCCAAAGATTTATTTCTTGTACTTATAGTTTATAATACACGTGTCAAATTTTTTCATGAGTAATGAGAATTTCATTCACTTAAAATGGTATAAATGTTTGTTTATTTGGCACAGAACAGTCTTTCAATGTGTGATGTTTTTTGGTTGATACATATTTTCCTCTAGAATACACCATTAAAATAATTTCTGTAATATAAAATTTACAGTAACTCTACCCTAAAGATATAGGTACAGGAAAATATGAAATGATTGTAAATTAATAAAAGTTATAATTTACATTTAATAGATTCGACTTCACAATTTTTAAAACTTCCTGGGACATACGAAGAAACAGGCAGATTGTTCTTTGGAATTATTTTGATGAAATATGCAGATCTTTAAGCAAATTGTCTAAAATATGTGACTTGTTGCTGAAAACTAATAAATTTAATCAGAAATATAATTTTGTATACAGAAACAAATTTACAGAATATGTCATAATAATTTTGAAATTGAATTTTTGTTTTTCCACTCTATTATACAAGTTTTGGAATTTTTGAATGCTGTAGATAACATAAACAGAATATTTGTGAGAAGAATAAAATAGCTACACCAAATTGCAGAAATTGGCTCAAAGTTGATGAAAGTTCTAGTAACAATAATTGCAGTGTATGAAATCTGTAATAACATAATATGAGAATTTACTGTCAAGTATCCAGATAACAATGGTTGATTATCATAATTTTTTATTATATTTATATTTACTGCACACTGTACAACATGCATGTATCTAAATGCACATAAATTAACATTACTATACAAAGTAATTAATTTATACAAATGTGCATTTCATTTTATTGAAAAATTCTCTAAGAACTTGTGACACTTGATCTACTTATCTTAATTATATAAACTACAATCAAAACTGCATACACAATACATTCCCATACAAAGCAGTTCAGTGTCTTGTAAAGCAAATATCAGAGCAACTTGCCTAAAAATTACACTATAGCAATAGTAACCCTTAAATGTTAAATTAAAGTAACTTGTTACCCCTTATATTATTAAAAGAAAACATTAACACTTAGTTTCTCAATATACAAGCAAATGCTGTAATAATTTTTCTATTGGTAAAAGCAAAAGTGACACATTCCTTCAGAAATTGGTTTAGATACATTATAGTTTATCTAGTCATAGTACATTTAAACAAGATTGAAAAATACAATTTGTAGAAAGCAATGAAGAACAAGAGAAGATGTCAGAAGATAGAAGAAAAACTATCAAAAAGAGAGGAAAACAAGGAAAAGTGGGAAGAGAGAAAGAAATAATTAATAAAAGGAAATTGAAGGGAAAAAAAGAGTGAATGTTATACATGTGAAGAGTACAGCACAATGTTATTTAATATATTACAAAATTAAATAATATATTACACAATGAAAGAAATGATAGTGCAACTGCTTGAATTAATATCAAAAAAATAGGTAACATGATTTTTATACACACTACATATGTAAAGTGCATCTATAAAACAATAATTAAGATGCCTATATGATGGCAACTTCAAGAATCATTCATTAAGCAGAAACTTAAAAAAGAAAGCTCAGACAAGTCATACTGAAATTTATTTAATCAACCAAATAACTGATGTTCAATATTATTTACCTATCAATACATAATGTAAGGCTTAAATACAAACAGTATACTATGAAAATCATAAGTTTGTGTAAATAACAGTGCTGTGACTCAGTAGTGAAATGTATCACATGCGTAAGTTCTTATGAGAACAACTTACAAATTGAGCAAAGCAATATCTAGATTAAACTTAGAAGGAAAAAAATAAAACTTTATGCACAGCTTCAAAACCAACATGAAGAAATTGTAATATCCTTACTCTCAAAATGAAAAATCCTTACTCACAAAACACATATTTCACATCTAATATTAATTGTCAAGTGTATGCAGATAAAGAAATGCATTAACATACATATTGTCTGGAATTGTTTGTAAACATATGTGTACAAGCATACATGTCTTAATAGACATAAACATGCATACACATATGTGTACACAGAGATATTTGCACTGGCAGAGACATTATGAAACATTCATGTAAGAAGCTGTAAGAATTCTTTGGGACATAATGAGATTCTTCAAATAGGTAGTCAAAGATATATTACATTAATACACTGGATGATTAATGTAACATTCACTAATTCTAATCATGCATTCTGTGTACTTTTCATTCACAATATTACACTATGCGTATGAACATGAAACTATCATTACATCATGTAATACTGAAAAATATCAATTTAGAATTAAAAACTGCCAATATATTCAGGGCATAAGAGGAATACAACACTGCTAAGCACACACACATCCATCACACCATAGAATAGCTAGGACATCCTTGCCAACGCAAGTTGGCTACTTACTGGACTCCTTTTTATCCGCAACTTTGGTCCTGTCGCCTCTCATATTTGCTGGTTGGATCCCATTCACCGATTTGGCAGGCATACATTTGGCTTTTATGGTGTGATTGGATTTGCCTTCTTCAGATTTTAGGGGAGCTGAGCTACTTTTAGGACGGGAAGGACCAGTGGTAGTTAAGGAGGCTAGAAAAGGTGAGAAGCAAGTAGTCAAAATATTAGCTTCCTAAAACAGATTGACTCCCACTACTTCAATTTGCTTGCTGTTTCTTAACATTAACATAATAAACATACACAGTGTTATAAGTTAAATTAATAATAATCTTCATTCTGAACAGGAACCTGAATATAAAAAAAAATTAAGTACATGTCAGCCACACCATGACAATCAAAGCAACATTTTGCATGGGCCAGTCCTCAACAAGCTGCCTTTCTAAACACAGAACTTATTCACTTCTCTACACATAAATACATTTCACAGGAAGCCAAATCATTCATCATCCTAGTAACATTACACATGACTTCTCTTCAGACAACAGAAAGATAAATCTCATACTTATTGTAACAATGTTATAGGTAATGAAGTTTTGTATTTTTTTTTTTAAGAATACATGCAGGAAAATTTAGATTTTTCAAAATGGTACTAAATTTCTGACAGTTTTAATAAAAATAAGAATATATAAAATAAGTAACACATTTATAATATTTTTTCGAAATCCCAGAGCAGCATTTGTGTCTATTGTAGAATACAGGATGATGTTTAAATTTAAAAAATGTAGATGAGTAATGAAGAAATATATGCAATGAACAGGTGGTTTTATCACATTAATCTGATGAACTTCATTTATTAGTATGTGAAGGAGTGTTATTTTCAGAGAGAATGAATGCAATAACACAAAAACTCAACAAAATACATCAATTAATATTAATTTTTGGGATTGTTTATTTTCTAAAAACAATCAGTCTTAAAACTTCAACACACTAAAATCAATCTTATTTGAATGAGAGGCAAGAAGGATTAAACAAGAGAACAAAGATTTGAGGAAGAAAAATTGTGACCACTTGTTATATGTTGTTTTTTTGTGCAATAAAAATTCCTTGTAAATTAAATACTATTTACTCAATAGAGTTCAATTGATTAAATAACAAGATTCATATACTCTTCAGAAGTGCAACATGAAGGGAGCTTTGATTATATATTCAAATTTACAAGGTTTTGAACTGAAACATTAATTAAAAAGAGTGGCTATGAAGACATCTTATGGATAAAATCAAATACAGTTTCTGTGACAAATTTAGACTGAATGTAGAAGTAAAATGTTTTAATTCCTTTTGAGAAGTTTGGTCTCATAAGTTTATATTGGAATCATTTGAAATGCTGATTTAAACTTTTGTCCTTTTTTAAAAATGAACCAATCTTTTTGTTATTTAAATAAAAAAAATGAAGAATAAATTCTGCTTACGTAGTTGTCTGAAACCAATCTTCTTCATTTCATTTGTAGTTACCACAAATGCAACATGAATTTGAAAGATTCTTTAGAGCAAGCATAAGCAATATATTTCAAGTGCTTAAAACTAAGAAACAATTTTAATAACTGTGTATACATTATTTATGTCAAAGAACACTGGCAGAAAACTTCATTTCCTATATTTTTTATTACATTTGAATGTATCAGGGAAATAGAACTATTCAGGTTTGTTTTTAGAATCATTCTTTTGTGATTTCCAAAATGTTCAACAAAAATGGAGATGATGCAAGGGACATAGTATGTGGCCTGTTTCAGCTCTAGAAAGAAGAGATATTTTAAAAGTTTAAGAAAGTTTCTAAAGAGTAAACTTTTTTTTATAGTCAAGAAATGTGTAAGGTTATTAATTTATCTTCTTCTCCCTCAAGCATTAGACCGGTTGGTCCGTTGCGATTTTGATGTTATTAATTTATATTTATATAAAAAGCAGTAAAAAATATATGCAACCTTAAGGATAGAAGAAAAGTTTATGCAAAATTTAAGAAAAAAAAAAAAATATTATATCAGTATTTTCTCTGACAAGGTCAAGAAACTGAATTGAAAAGTAGATCAAGAAAGTGCCACTCACTCCAAAGTACATACAAAACAGTATTAGTAATAAACCTAATTAAAATTTTAATTTTGATATTTAAATTCACTATATATAACAAAAACGAATGGGGTCTAGTTGTTTTAACATTTGCATGAAACAAGGAACAGTAAGTATTCTGAGAAAAATTATTGTTCCATAACCGTCAAAAAATGTTTCAATTAATTTAAAAGTCAAATATATGTGTAAAAAAATTGTTTTTTAAGGAGAAAACTTTTCTCTTGTTTTCTTGAATATTGAAGGCAGTTTTATGTCCTTCATTAAATTAATGAAAAGAGGTGAACACCTACTACATGTTAATTTTTTATTGTAGCTGAAGATATTGAGACCCTAATAAACCTACTTGATGAATTTTGAACTTGAGAAAATTCAATTAAAGAAGTCAACATTGACAGGACTATTTTGATTTTCCATTATGTTAACACAATGAATTACAATTAAATTCAACAAGCAATATCCATTACCCACTTTTAATATATAAAAAACATAAATATAAAATTGCATAAGTAAGATAATTTTGTCTGGCTTATTATTGGTATTATTCATAATCTTTAAATTCTCTCTTTTTCTTGCCTTTAACTTCAAACATTATTTTCTTGTTCATTTATCAATTTTATATAAATTTATTATTTAAATTTTGATAATTGTAATTTCCACTATAGTTAATATTGTTCTTACAAAGTTATTAATTCTATAAGGAATCTAAGGGTTCATGGCTTTATGAAGAGAGGGTACAAAAAATATAGAGGAGCAAAAATTTCATATGCAACAAATAAATGCAACTATTATTATCTGTTGAACTTTTCAGATTATAATTGCAAATTGAGAGTGCAAATGCTAGAAATTAGGTAGTCAATGTTATTAACTGAGTGTGCTTCCCTTTTAAGCAGTCACCACTGCTTTAAAGCAGTGGTTGAATTTGTAATTGTTAATAGTAATGCAACTGACATATGGCACAAAACTATTTGTGTGGATATCTCCTATTTCAATTGCTTCTAATCAGTATATGCAGATTCACTCCTCCCCAAAACTCGAATGCAATAAATTACTTGCTGAATTAGTATCGCAATAGAACCACGATTATCCGTCTTTAATTAATGTGGATATTTGTTTAAGTATGTGTGTCGATATTCAGTGAACAAAAAAATCACTGTGGTATACGATTGTTTCCGTTTGAGATCATATTGTGTAGACAATCATAAATCGTGGGATAAGCCTTGGATGGCAATCTGTATTTTCACTCACGAGAAAAAAAATACGATGTTTACCCTTCACAGTTTTTGAGACATTTAGTACAAACTAAGTGCTCAGATGTTGGTGATGTGAATGCCTGGTTACAAATACAATAGCAATGGTGGCAATGGCGTGAATGCAGAGGACATTATTGCCGCCGGTTCTTCCGCATATCGTGATGGCAGTGATAGTGATTCTGGTGTCGTGGATTCGGTCCAAGCTCAAGAAGGGAAGCCAGACATGCGCAGGCAGAGGTGCAGCTGATATATTTGGAATGCCAGACGGCATTAACATCTACAGAATTCCAGTTAGTAAGACACCTCCGCATTTGTCATTGTGCTGCACGTAAATGCCATGAAAAGAAACCAACACACTATTTTACTAGAATTTAATAGAGTATGTATTACATTTCTGAGGTGAGTAAAGATCCTTTTAAAATTTGTATGTTTCAAATACACTGTTTTCTATAAACAAATAGTAGGCGCATCTAATTTATTGAGTATATATGTGTTATATCATACCCATAATTTACTGGTTATTAGGATTTTCATTAATAGGTATACGGATTACTTTCGGTCCGGGTAAACGAGTTTCTTATTTAGTGTTATTAATAATTTTCTTTCAGACTACGATGGGTTACGGCAACACAACTTTCAAGTGCTTCCCACTTCTTCCAATACTTCTTTGTCTTCTGCTAACATTTGTTCTAAATCTTGGCTGTTTCTCAGATTTTCTTCTGCTTTACCACAACATACGAAATCTTCATGAAATTTCTCAACCCACAAAGTTCGTTTTTATCATCTCTTAAAATGTGAGAATCCTGATTCATAATTTTAAGAATTCACTCGTCTGCTATGTTCACAGAAGGCGCACCCAGTTTCATTTTCTAACTGTTGAGGATATCTCAATTTCTTTACAGCTCCTGATTGGATCGTAAATAGAACTTAACTGGTATATCATCTGCTACTAATCGTTTAGATCTCAGAACAAAGTTCCTTTTCTTTATTTTTCTACTTCTGATACCCCCCCCCTCTTGGTAATTGTCTCTGCCGCATGCGGACACAAACTGATTGGACTACTGCACTATGTAGTATAATGCCTGATTTTTGCGTGGTAGGACATGGATTTTGATTTAAACTATTAATGCCATATTCTAAATGCTGTCTCTTATGACGCTTCTTATGACAGTCTACCTAAGGGGTCCGCCGCTGCTTGCAAGAGCAGACGCTCCTCCCAGCTGCCAGTGCTTCTCCAAAGAGGCAGGGAGGCGAGGACAAGCAGCCACTCCGCCGAGCGGCCCGGCCGTCACGGACGCCTGCCAACGCCCTCGAAGTCAGCGTAGCAAGCGTACACAACAAAATGTTCCTCAGAAGTTTCTTAAAATATTTAATGTTCTTTTCCTTTGGTTCTTAAATCTTTAAACTACTCGAATTCAGAGTTCTTAGCGGTTGGATGTATATAATCGTTCTTGACTGCATAAAAACACGGCCCATTCCTTATAGATTCAATGAGAGCAAACGCTTGAGTAAAAAGAGGTTTGAATGAAAACAAATTGTGAATTGCTGAGTCCTTTGGCGGATTTTGAGAACACTTTTCTGGAGTTCTTTATTGATGGGATGCCATTGTGATTAAAAAACGTTACAAGTCAGCACTGGATAGATCACCTACAGGCCCGTTGCTTTGGGGGCCCTTGGGCCTACGTTAATTTGAAGGACTCCAACTCTTACTTTCAACGATCTCCTTACACCCCCTCAATTTAAAGACAAGTTTTGTTAAAAAAAATACTTCTCAACACTGAGTGGCATTTTCGCATCAACCAGCAACATTCCATGTTACAA